AACACATGCACACGCGCGCGCGTGCACACGCGCAGACACGCACACGCGCACACGCGCGCACATGCACGCGCACACGCGCGCACATGCGCACACGCGCACACGCGCACACACGCACGCACGCGCACACGTGCGCACGCACGCACGCACATGCGCAGACACGCACACGCATGGACACATGCACACGCACGCACGCGCGCACGCGCGCACGCACGCACGCACACACGCACACACGCGTGCACGCGTATCCACGCACGCGCGCAGGCACGCGCACACACGCACACACGCACACACGCACATGCGCACATACGCACGCGCGCGCACACGCACGCACGCACACGCGCGCACACGCACGCGCGCACGCACGCGCTCACACTCGCGCACGCACACACGCACACACGTACACAGGCGCACGCGCACACGCGCACACTCGCAAACGCGCACGCACGTACACACGCACACACGCACACACGCACACGCGCGCACGCGCTCACGCACACACGCACGCACGCGCGCGCGCACACAGGCACACACGCAGCACGCACGCAAGCACGCGCGCAGGCACACACGCACGCACGCACGCACGCACACATGCAAGCACGCACACACGCACACGCGCATGCACGCACGCGCGCGCACGCACACATGCGCACATGCACACACGCACGCACGCGCACGTGCGCGCACGCACACACGCACGAACGCACACGCGCGCACACACACGCACGCACGCACTTACGCACACGCGCGTGCACGCACGCACACACGCACCCACTCACGCACGCACACACACACACACACGCGCACACGCTTACACATGCACACGCGCTCACGCGCACACACGCGCACACGCACGCGCACACGCACACGCACGCACACACGCACGCGCGCACACGCGCCCACGCGCCCACGCGCACGCGCGCGCGCACCTACGCATGCACACGCCCGCGCGCACGCACGCACGGACCTACGCATGCACGCATCCACGCGCACGCGCGCGCGCACACACGCACGCATCCTCACGCGCGCACGCACGCACGCACACACGCACGCTCGCTCACACGCGCACGTGCGCACGCACGCACGCACGCGCGTGCATGCGCGCGCACGCGCACATGCGCACGCACGCACGCGCGCACACACACACGCACACACGCACGCACGCACGCACGCACACACGCACACACGCACACACGCACACACGCACACGCGCACGCGCGCACGCACGCACGCACGCACGCACGCGTGCACGGACGCACGCACGCACCCACACACGCACAAACGCACACATGCACGCGCGCACACACGCACGCGCGCACGCACGCACACACGCACACGCACGCACACACGCACACACGCACAAACGCACGCACGCACGCGCACGCACGCACACACGCACACGCGCACACGCGCACGCGCGTACAGACGCACGCACGCGCGCACGCGCACACGCACGCGCGCATGCACGCATAATGTACAAACGCAAGCACGCACACGCGCACACGCGCACACGCGCGCGCGCACACGCGCACTCACGCACAAGCGCAGGCACGCACGCACGCACACACACGCACACGCACACACGCACACACGCACACACGCACACGCGCACGCGCGCGCGCACGCACGCGCGCGCACCCGCACACGCGCACACGCGCGCGCGCACGCACGCACGCACGCACACGCACACACGCGCACACGCGCGCACACATGCGCACATGCTCATGCACACACGCACACGCGCACGCGCTCACACACGCGCATACGCCCACGCACATGCACTTGCACACGCACACGCACACGCACGCGCACACACACACACACGCACGCGCCTACCCGCACACGCGCGCACGCGCGCACCCACGCACGCACGCACACGCGCACGCGCGCACACACGCACACAAGCACACACGCACACACGCACTCGCGCACGCGCACCCGCACGCACGCACGCGCGCACTCGCACACGCACAGACACACACACACACGCAATCACACACACGCACGCACGCACGCACACGCACACGCACACCCACGCACCCACGCACACGCGCACCCACACCTACGCACGCACACATTGACATACACACGCACGCACTATGCACGCAAGCGCACACGCACACGCACACGCACGCACCCACGCGCACACGCGCACGCACACGCACACGCACACGCACACGCACACGCACACGCACACGCACACGCACACGCACGCGCACGCGCACACGCACACGCACACCGCACGCGCACGCGCACACGCACGCACACGGCGCACGCGCACGCACGCACACGCACGCACGCACACGCACACGCACACGCACACGCACACGCACACGCACACGCACACGCACACGCACACGCACACGCACGCACGCGCACACGCACACGCACACGCACACGCACACGCACACGCACACGCACACGCACGCGCACGCACGCACACGCACACGCCACACGCGCACGCGCACGCGCACAACGCGCACGCGCACGCGCACGCGCACGC